TTTTTGACCATTTAGTATGACATTGGCTGTTGGTTTTTCATAGATGGATTTTTTCAGATTGAGGTAGAGACTGTCTATTCCAATTTTTTGTAGGGTTTTTTATCATAAATGTATGTGGGATTTTGTCAAATGCTTTTTCTGCATCTGTTGAGATGATCATATGATTTTTGTCCTTGGTTCTGTTAATATAGTGTATGACATTTATTGATTTGCGTATGTTGAACCATCCCTGCATCCCTGGGATGAATTCCACTTGGTCAGGGTGTACGATCTTCTTGATGATCTTCTGCATTCTATTTGCCAGTATCTTATTAAGGATTTTTGCTTCTATGTGCATTAGTGTGATTGGCCTGTAGTTCTCTTTTTCGGTTGGGTCTTTCTCTGCTTTGGGGATCAAGGTGATACTTGCTTCCAGGAATGAATTCAGGAGTATTGCTTCCCTTTCAATTTCACTGAAGAGTTTAAACAGTAGTGGCAGTAGTTCCTCTCTAAATGTCTTGTAGAATTCAGCAGTGAAGTCATCAGGACCCAGGCTTTTCTTAGTTGGTAAGTTTTTATTACGTTTTCAATTTCATTGATTGATACTGCATTGTTTAGAATTTTTAGGTCATCTTTTTTCAACTTTGTAATTCATACATATCTAGGAATCTGTCCATTTCTTCTGTATTTTTCATCTTATTGGCGTATAGGTTCTGGAAGTAGGTATTGATGATCCTCTGGATTTCTGCTGGGTCCATTGTAATTTTACCCTTTTAATTCCTAATTGCTGGGATTTGGGCCTTTTCTTTCCTTTTTTTTTATAAGGTTGGCTAAAGGTTTGCCAGTTTTGTTTATTCTTTTGAAGAACCAACTCGACTTGATTGATTTTTTGTATCGTTCTCTTAGTCTCCATTGCATTGATTTCTGTCCTGATCTTTATAATTTCCTCCCTTATATGAGCTTTGGGTTTGTCCTGTTCTTCTTTTTCTAGAAGCTTGAGGTTCAGCATCAGGTTGTATAATTGAGCTTGCTCTGTTTGCCTAATGTGAGTATTCACTGCTATGAATTTCCCTTGTAAGACTGCTTTCATTGAGTTCCATAGATTCTGATATGTTGTCATTTAATTGTCGGAACTGTCTGATTTCTTCTTTAATTTCCTCTGTGACTCATTTATTCTTTTTGACATAGGCATTACGTAGCCCAGTAAAGAAGAGGTCACCATTTATTTTTTATCTGCTGTATAGAGGGCAATGAGGTGTGACTTGTGCTTTTTATCTCACATTAGCCCTCCCAATAACTCTGTGCTACAAGGTGTTACTAGTCACTCTTCCTACTGTAGATGAGGACATGGAGGTTAGAGAGATTTGAAGACACTTGGTATATTAGTCAGCTTTCCCATCACTAAGACACGACACCTGACACCCACAATTTAAAGAAGGAGAGGTTTAATTGGGCTTATGGTTTCAAGGGATTCAGTCCATGATCAGCTGGTTCCAAGGCAGAGATCTCATGGCAGAAGGGTATGGAGGAGCAAAGCTGCTTACTTCACAATGTCTGAGAAGCAGAGCAGGGCAACAGTGCCAGAAGGGACGAGGCTAGGGACCTTATATATTAGTGCCCAATGCCATACTTCCATGGCCACCCAGACACACCCAGGATCATGCTCTACTAACCTTCTAGGTGTTTCTTAATCCAACAAAGCTGACATATCAGGATTAAGAGTTACACTTGGCCAACTTGCTCACCTAGGGAAGAGTGATCTGACTCCAGCCAGGTCAGCCTTGTACTCACTGTGCTTTGAGATAACACAAAGCTCAGGTGACCAGCTTCAAGCAAGGGTGCCAATAGCTTACCTGATGTCCCAGACTTGATTGGCAGCCAGTTAAATGCTGTGCCAAAGCAGGTGAGTCATTTGAACTCTATCAGAAAGAGTCTCATAGTCACTTAATGGTGTCTGCTGCAAATGCAGGAAAAGGAAATGTTGGTATGCATGGTGAGGATTTACCATTGCCGGCCTAAAAGAAATAGTCCTGGAGCAAGAGGAAATGAGGACTAACAGCCTCAGAGACATGGCTCCTTGAGTGTTGATGTTCCGTCCCCTATTCTCATTCCTCTTGTGCTTTGTTAAATGTGGATGTGGTTTTCTTTTGACAATCTAGTGGTCACAAATCACTTGGTGGACTAGGTTTCCAGTGTCCTGTGACCCTGCCCCCCGGTCCTTGTCCGAGATAGTGTACAACAGGTTCCCTGCAGACTGGGAAACTGGAGCCTCATCTTTATGCAGCACAGGACCTTTTTCCTCTGTCTACGCAACAGAATGCAGCTATTCCAAGAGACTGCAGTGAGCCAACCCAAAGTGGTCCTTCCATGTGGGTGTTAGTGTGATGTAGCAGGAAGAGGATGACCTGAAATTTACAAGGCTGGGACTGACCTCAACCCTGCAACTTGCTCAGTGTGTGACCCAGTCAGGAGCCTCAGAACTTGTATTTTCTTACTTGTTGAAGGGATGAATCATGTTAGTATTTATCTACTGTGAGTTCAAAGGAGAGAAGGTGGGTACAAATGTGTTGTAAACTATCAAAAGCTAAGAATAAGGGTTTTCCTTATTCGAGGTTAATGCAGTAGCTAATGATTGTTTAATGGTTTCTTGTGAAAAACACAGCAGCCAAAGTCATGCTCCAGTGTCGAGTCCATTCCCCCATTTCAGATTCCTGGCACTGTATGAAAACACAAATTGGGTACCACTGCTTCAATTGCAACTCCAGACACTGAGCACTCATTAGGGGACATGACAGTAATTTAATTTCAAGTCTACAGCCACAGGGTTCAGGCTCCATCCTTCTCGTGTTTACCGAATGCAGATGGGCTGGAGGTGAGGAGCTCAAGGCAGGCGATGGTGATCTCTTAGGAGCCACTGCAGGAAGCAAGCCTACCACATCCACACCAGATGCAAAACCAGCAAAATGAAAACTTCAGAACACTCAATTCCAGGAAAGACACTGGCTTACATTTTTATTATTACTGCCTTGATATGTGGTGCATGTAATGATTCCTGTGAGTCTTCTCTTTGATTTTTTTTTCTCTTTGACTTCTGAAAGGAACCATTGGCATTGATGTTATGTTTACTAGGGAGATTGTGCAGTATCTGCCAGAGTAAAAGGGATATGGATGTAATAAGAAATAAACAGAAATCCTCCTTTCATTAAGCGGCACCATTAAATAGCATCGCTCTGTAGTAAAGCTGAAATAAGCAGCTATATCCCTCTACTTCTGTACTTCAAGCAATGTGACAGTCACTCGCCCCAAAGATATGAAGCAGCTCCTGACTCCGTCTTCCTGGGCTGTTTCTCCTCTCAGACTCTGGGTTATCATTCTTGTTTCACTCTTGATTGTCCTCTTTGTCCTCCTTTCTCTCCATGGGAGTCCCAATCCCAGAGATCATACTCCCCCAGAAATTTAAAATTTTTGTCCATCCCCAAGCTGCTTATTCCCTACATTTTTTACCTTAGTAAATGTCAGCATTGATCCCTAAGATGACCATGTCAAAAACCTCAGCTATCCAGACCATCTCTCTTACTACCCCCATTTCCAATTGGTGACCAAGTTCTCATCATCCCTACTTCTAGATGTCACTTCAGGTTGACTCTGTTACTGAGGTTTTAAGGCAAAAACCCTAGCTCTGGGGGTCCCAGCAGAACAGGCTCAGCCACCTGGCCCATAATGCCAAACAAGGAGAGGAGCTTTGGGGCCCAGGATTTAGCTCAGTGGCACCACACCTGCCTGGCAAGCTCAAGGTCCTGAGTTTGATTCCTGGTACCAAAAAAAAAATTATAAAGGAGAGGAGCTGTAGTCAGCATGGCCATGCTGGGGAGCACAGAGAAAGGATTCAAGATCTGTCTTCTAGGGGATGACAGAAGCTTTGGGGTCTTATAGGAAAAGGGAACAAAGAAAGGTGGGGGTTTGCATAGATGGGGCTCCATAGCTGGCAGCCCAGAGAATCCTACTCCAGTCATGGTCCGGTTGGATGACGGGTACCTCAGTTCTGGCCCCATGAGGTTCTGTGACAGCCATTGTTGCTTGAGGGGACAGTTTAGTTCCTATCACGAGATGATGGCTCCTGCTTGGGGGGCAGCCTCAGTTCCCATCAAGGGGTGACTGCTTCCGCTTGGGAGGTGACCTCATCACAAGGTGGTCTGCAAGGCTCTGCTTTTCCTGGAATCTGAAATGACTTCAGGCTTAGGACAATGACTGGAGACTTCTAGGCCTTGTTCTAGAAAGTCTGGAACTGGATGTTGGGTAAACTGGCAATTGATTGTCCCTGAAGATCCTGAAAATCAGTTGTGATTGACGAGCTCACGTGCAGAGCCAAGCAGGGACCTGACCCACAGTGTCACAGCTATCCATGCTGCATCTTGTTGTAGTGACCCACTGGGCATCTGCAGGCCCGGCCTCTAGGTCCCTGCCGCACCCCTTTCTCTTATCCCTGCTGCATCAGCTCCCCGCCGTGCATCCCTCCTCGTGGACATCAGTACGATATCTATTGCTTTCCATTTTTTAGCTTGTCCCGTTCCACCCATACTATATGCTTCATGGGAGATATGCATGGTCTCACTGCTCAATAGCTTAAAATCCTTCAGTGCTTTCATGTTATTTCTTGAATAAAATGAGTGGTTCTGAGCATGACACTTAAGGTTTCTCTATCTTGTCTCCTCCTGACTGTACAGAAATACTAGTGCTCCCTAAGTGGATGGTACGGTTTCATTCTTCAGGGCTTTGGTGAAAGATACTCCTTTGCACACCTTTTAGTCTTGGAGAATGGCCCGCTCACTCTGTAAGAGTTAACTTGACTGTTCGATCCCTGGTACCAAAAATAAAAAATAAAAAAAATTTTTTAAAAAAGAGTTAACTTGACTGTCACAATCTTTAAGAAACCTTCCTCCTTTGTGTTCCTATAGCAACCTGTAAATACTCCCTTGATAGCACTTATCATGTTGTTTTGTTATGAATGTTCTTTTTCTAAACATCATGAAACAATGTTATTCAAAAATTATATATGCAGCCTTAAAATAGGATATTTGCCATCCTTAAAGCTATTCTTTAAATTCTCAGTTTTCCAGAACTCATCCACTTCACTTCCATGTAAGTTGTTTGACATACAGTACTTTAAAAATCCTGTAGGATGCTATCCATGAAATATTGTCCCAAGTTTTAAGTACTCTTTTGAACAACATTTTTCCTCCTATATGTGCATATCAATTATCTCTCTGCAATGTGACCACTTATAGTAGGTGTGCCACTTACAAAAACAACCAGTGTTCCTTTCAACTTTTAATTCTGAAACATATTGCAAAGACAAAGGGAAAAATTCATCATCTGCAAAATTGTAATAATAATAATGAGAAAGCAATCATCCACATACCCACCCACAGTCTAAGAAATAAAATGTTACTGATACATTTCAAACCCTTCGAACAACCTTCCCTGACCTCACAACCCCCTCCCCATCCAGTGGCAAACATTTTTGATGTTTCTTTGCATATCTGTCTCTCTCCCCCAGCTTTCTGAAGGCCAAAGCTATGCTTTTTTTTTGTATTTCCAATACCTGGCACATAGAGATTTAATTCATACACAATGAAATAAAGGTGTTGAATAAAAGATGCCACATAGGGCTGGGGATTTAGCTCAGTGCCACCACTGCCACCTGCCTCGCAAGTGCAAGGTCCCAAGTTCGATCCCTGGTAACAAAAAAAAAAAAAAACAAGATGCAATATGGTTAAGGAAATAAAATGAAAGTAAAATTAATGTTCCAAGTAACAATGAGTGATTTGGAGGTTTGTCTGGGAAGAATTCCTTGAGGAAGGACATTATGGATTGTGTTTTAAAGGAGGATTAGAGAATCTTCTAATTTCTGCTCAGAATATACAGATCAGAAGAGAACTTTATTCCCACCCTCATCAAAACAACAAAAATAATCAGATAAACTGCAGGTTCGTGGCTCTCCTTCAGTTTGTTAGACGACTGAGGTTTCATGTTGACCAGCAGGCCAGGCATCTGCAGGGATAGGTGGACTGGGCAGATACAGCTAGGTCCAAGGAGACATCAGGTAGAGAGACCAACCAGCTAGTGAAGGCCCAGTGTGGGCGGGTGGGAGACTCTGATGCCACAGGGAGAGGGTGTTGTCAACACCTTGCCAGCTTTTTCCATAAACTCCACACACCAGGTGTGCACAGAGACAACTGCCAAGGGTCCTGAGAAGGTCCCCCCGTCAGGTGCACTAATGTTAGGGACAGAGCAGCTGCTCTGGAGGGAACATGAGCCCCTCCTGGCCCCTCTTCCTCTAGCTTATCTGTAGGGACAAAGCCCTCATTTGAGGAGGGAAGGCACAGCATCTCTTCAGGAACAGGCAGAAACCCACAGCAACTGGAAGAAAGGAACAGAAAAGACTGTCCTTGGGTGAGGGCCGGAATGCTGTGGGTCCCAGAACCACAGCCATAGGAAGGGCAGGGACATCGAGAAATTCAGGGACAGAGACCTTGGCTGCCACTGAAACTGAACCAGAAAAATGGAGAACATCCCTCAGCTCCAGCTCCAGGATAACCACAGTGATGCTGGAATCCTGGTGGCAGAGCAGGGAGGCTGTGGAAACAGGCGAAGGAAGGGCCTAAAGCTCAGGGTAGAGCAGATAATTGAGAAAAATTCTCTGGAAAATTATCCGCATCCTAAATAGAAGGTATCCCTTAAGGAAGTTGAAGCCTTGGTACCCTACAGGTAACCATAGCTGCCATAAACCCCAAATCCAGCCTAACTCCTAACCAAATTGACTCGGATACCACACAGAAGCCTGAGCCAGGTGACAGGCATGTCCATTTCCAAGCATAAAAATTGTTCACCTCTGTTCCTGTACAAGGGGTCTGACTCTCAACAAAAGTTATGGTTCAGACAAAATGGCAAGGAAGAGAAACACACTCCTAAGAGACGAGGCATTTGATGGAGCCAGCTGTGTTACAGATGTTTGAATAATCTGACAAGGAATTGAAAAGAACTATGATTAATGTGGTGAAGACACTAATGGGAAGATTGGGCAGCATATAGAGTCAGATGGTCAGTTCCAGCAGAAAGGGATAGGAGATATAGGAAAGAGTCAACTGGAAATACCAGAAATGAAAAACAATAAGAGATGATAAACATCAAGGAGGCTCTTCCAGTGATTCAACGTAGCTAAGAAAAGAATGAAAGACTCCAAACAGGTTAATCAAAATCACCCAAACTGAAACACAGAGGAGGCAAAAGTGAAAAAACAAAAACCAGAACTGAACATACAGTATGGTTTAACTCACATATGTGTGGTTGAAGAAGAGAGAGAATGAGGTGGAAGAATTTAAATTTAACTTAAATTGAAATAATTTTCTAAACATTAATGATGGACACCAAACTACAGAAACAAGGAACCCAAAGACCAGCATGCAGGGTGAATAAAAAATTAGACATCTAAGCATGGCATAATCATACGCTGTAAACAAGAGGAAATACTCAAAGCAGACAGAACAAATGGACACATTACATACAGAGGAAGAAAAATAATCATAGCATGCCTTCCTGTCAGAAAACTTGTAAGCCAGAAGATAATGAAGTAACATATTTTAAAAGCTGGAATGAACAAAGCCAACCAAGAATTCTGTATTCAGTAAGAGTATCTTTCAAAATTAAAAAATAAAAACTTTTCCAGCAAATAAAAATAGATCCTTCATAGCCAGCAGACCTACAATAACAAGAAATGTCACAGGAACTTCTTCAGATAAAGGAACGTGACAGCAGACAGAAACATAAATCTACATAAAGGAATAAAGAGAGCTCAAAATGCAATGCATGATGATAAAGGAAAATTACTTTTTTCTTTTTAGTTATGCAAAAGGAAAACTGAAGCAAAATTAGTAGGCCCATGTTTTGTGTCTATAGCATATGTAGGAGAAAAATGTACGATGATATAAACTGTGAAATGTAAAAAACAGTGCATAAGCACAAAGGAGGAGAGGAAGTAGGGGTGTGTAAGGCGTCCCCTCCGTGTACAGCGTGTAATAGTATTTGAAGGTGAACACAGGGTCATTGCCAGTGTATGCAAAGCCAGGTGGGATGTGAAGAAATTAGAAGTCATCACAGGAACTGCAGAGAGAGTGTGTGTGCTGTAGAAACTCCGGGGAACATAATGTAGCTGTTAAGGTGACAAGGACACAGACAAGGATCCGTGCATATATCAGAATCTCTAGGCTCTACTTTCAGGTACCTTAGAACAGCCAACCAGGCATCGGAACAGAGAAGTGTGATAAATGCCGTTTGGGCCGGGTTGTGACTCCAGCTGGTCTTCATGAGGTGCACACACGTTCACGGTCCTGGAAGGTCTGAGCAAAAACACCACAGCAGGCCCAGGCAAGAACAGACTGGGTTCCTACTCTGCAGAAGCCAGGTTTCTTGATTTTGTTCCCCAGTCCCATGCACCTGTCCCATAATGTTGTGGTCTGAACACATCGTGTGCCCCTTGTGACCCAGCATGAGGAGACCATTGGTTAGACAGGAAGGAGCCGTGTGTGGCAGGGATCCCTTGCTTTGGTGAGAGGTGGCAGAAAGCTCCCAATGGCTGTGACAGACACCACCCAGCAATGGATGCAGTTGGCATCTTCAGGATCTGCTCTGGAGACTCGCCCAGTGGGGTTCACAGGGCACATTAATCATCATCATTATCACAGATCTCAGAAAGGAAGAGGCTGGAGATTTCTCTGCTGGCAGCAGATGATAGCAAGATTATTGGTCCTTTGGATTTAGATGCCCTGCAGATAATCATCAAAGATTTCCAAGGGACAATACTCTGCGTAGACTTTAAAGGGCCTCTGTCACATTTAGTGTCCTTTGCTCCTAGCAACTTGAGTAACCTTCACAGTGGCAAAAGAGATAAATTTGAGAGTGGAGAAGCATGTTCTAAGTCATAAATTTATAACTCGTGGCTTCCTTGACTACATAAGTATGAGCCCTGATATCTTTATCTTCATCCTGCGTTTAAAATGAGGCAAGGTGACCAAGTTAAAATGTGAAAACAAAATAAAGAAACATAGGGGACAGGAACAAGAGGTATAATATACTTTTAGTGCTGTTGATCTCTGTGCTCTTCCTGCACGGACGCTTCTCGGATTAGAATTTGTATTTGATGTGAACCTAAAACCATAAGAAAGGGACCTGAATCAGTGCTCACCATGCACATTTTACCCAGCCCTGCCAATCCAAAGCATATTCAGTTATCCCTGGAGGGAAGATTGGGATTTGAATCTGTTTCTGCAGGATGTCAACAGCTTGCAGGGTTCCAAGGAACTGATAATCATGAATGACGGCATCCCAAAGGTTCCCACTGCACCCGCAGAGCAGAGTGTTTCATAATGTTAAGAAGGCAGACACTGAATGAGCCAGCTGCAATGTGATGGCCACAAGGGCCCATTTCCTGGTTGGCACCCTCCCCAGTAGCGCAGGATGCAGAAGGAACAGCCGAAGACATCATCACCCTGAGGTCTGAAGGAAAGCACAGTAAGAAGCAAAACCCAAGCCAAAGCTCGCAGTGGTTCCCTTCATGGCAATAATAGATCACATTGCAGGACTTTGCTGACCACCAGGTACTGTGCTGAGCATTTTACAGCCAATCTTCACAAAATTTCCATGAGGTCAGCATTATGGTTATCCCTGTTTTCACAGACCAGAAACTAAAGTTTGGAGAGGGACCATCACTGCCTGTGGTCACGTCACAAAAATAGTACATCGAAGAGCCAGGCCTAGACCCAGTGACTGACTCTGGAGCCTGCATTTTCAATGCTATGTGCT